ACTCTTTCGTGTGTCTCGTTATCGACTTTAAAAGCATTTTGTAAATGGTTGAAAAGAGTTTCTTGACTACATTCTCTAGAAACGTCGAAGCCAATCTGATGTTGTGTCATATACAGCAATGTAGCATAAAGTTCTTCAATCTGTAAACAGTACACCAATATAATATTAATCACGAAGAAGTAGCAAAAGATATACATATATATAACGACAAGATATTTCTTTATCAACTATCATTAACAGCTTGTTTATGTGTTTTATTTTGCTTAACTTGAACCTCATATAATTCTCTTAATTGCGAATTTGCTAATTATATGTTATGACAATATAATCTGCCGATAATACAAGACAATTTCAAGCGTGTTATTTTTGAAGCTCCGCTAAAGGTATCGTATGCGAGTCAAAGTACAAAGTCTTTAATTTTTTAAAAATAACACTGTTATATATAATCACACAATAGAAGAGCAATTTCACATAAATGATTTATTATAATATATATAATGTACGTAAAACTAGAAAACTCGTGAAATATGTTACATAACGCATAAAATATGTTTGAATTTTTTAAATTATTATAATTTAAGTTGAAAGAGAAAGAGATTTATTACTTGTAATTAATAATTTAAAATATAATACGACATTTATATAACTTATTTTAATAATTTTTATATATAAAAGAGGAATGCTAATTAGCATATATATAAATAAAATAAAGATGAATACAACGTACAAAGAGGAAGAGAGAGAAAGGAAGAGGATGAAAAAGGAAAGAAAAAGGAGTGTAAAAGATAATAAAAAGTTGCTGTCAAAGTTTTAATATTTGATTTTTTCTGGAAAAAGATGGTAGATTGTTTTATATACGAATTTTCATCATTAATCACAACTATTTAGGATAGTTGATGATCAAACTCACCGTCATAGATTGCAAAAGTGCATTGGTTCTACGTTCAATTTCAGCCTTCGGCACTCCGCAAAAAGTATTTCTCATACGATTAAGGGTGGCCGCCCTTATGGGCGGACTTGTGCTCACCATATTAAATCTCATATAGCTATTTTTTCACTTTCCGGACTTACAAACAAAACTCACAAGAATCACACAAACAGTCATGTAATCACTTCGAGCTATATATTCAGTTCTCTCATGATACATATTATGTGTGTCCAAAAGAGTCATTGTTGAATGTACAATCAAATCGTAATTTTTTCGTTAATGAACGTGATATCCTGTCAATTTTCTTAGACGATTCGTCTCAAATGGTTTCAACGACAATAACAAACAGCAGATCTAGAGAAGAGGAATCTAGAGCTACGCGACAATGACCCGCAGAAACGCAAGACAGAAGATCATATTGTTAGCTAAGAACAATGACGTTTATGCATCAACGATTCTGGCCTCAATTAGACGTCAAACTTGTTCACACCGACACGTTTACGGATCTTGCATGAGGACAAAGAATTGACCGCGCAATGACCCCTGTGATCACATCCAAAGGGGATAATAAAAATGTTTGCTTTAGACAAAGATTGTTTTCCGAAAGCGTTTCATATGTTACTGACAGTACCGTAGAGAGAAAGAACCGATTAATCGCACGCGCGATCGACGAATTTCGTTGTGATATCAAATGCACTTCGTCGGCCAAAGATGAACTTCCACGACGACCACGACCTTTCTTATCGACAATACGGCGAGTCTTCGCATATTTGACCGTGTGTATGCATAATCGACGATCATAATCGATCGTAGCATGCATAAATCGTAATACTTTGGAATCAACCGATATCAGTGTGGTTTGATATAAGCGTGCACGATTACGTCAATTAACGAACTTAGGATAAGATCATCGTTATTAAATAAGATTCTCAGTGTATCTTGTTATTTTATTTAATATTAAAACGATTATAATTAAGTTTTGAAAATGAATTATTTGATCTATTTTTACGTATACGATATTAAAAAGTGAAGTTTGTTTGGCGCTTACTCTTTAGGCATTTACAGATGATGGATAAAAAATTTATTGCCAATTTATTAGAGTAAAAACAAGTTAATAATACCGCATATTTTAAGAAAGCAGATAAATTTTAGTCGTTGTGATAAGTTTTAGGTTGTTAGTAAATACTGCATTATATTATTAGCTTTATCAGTTAACAATGTATGTGTTTTACTAACAAATTAAAAAAAGTATGAAAACTATAGCAAGTGCAAATGTTATATAATATCATTCACAATTTTATACTGTTATTGTAATTGCGGTTTTCTAACATCTACAAATGTTCTTTATCGTTTTCGCAAAAAGATGATTGATAATGTGGTAACACATAGATACTTTCTAAATAAGTTATTCCATTTTTATAAATTTTTACAAATTATTAAATAAGAAATTATGAACATTAAATTAAGAATATTGATAATAATAAGCTATGTTTATAAATTTTTTCAAGATGCTACTATCATTTTAGGTTGTAAAATATAGCGCAGCTTTTTTTCTATATTTTGCATACTCTCTTCTTCTTACATGGGAACTTTTCATTTTTAATGAAGATTGTGAGCGAATCTGTATGTGAAAAGACCAGAATTTGGGGCATAGCCTTCAATTTCAATGTTCACTGGCAGATATAGTTGGTAGATATAGTTGGCAAGCGTAATTGACTCTGACAGTGAGATTTAGATTGCACTATATTTCACGGTTAAATTACATGTTGATGAAAACAACTTCTTTCAAACAAACAATATTATAAAATATTTACTATGCATTAATAGTTTATTAATTTTCTATTGTTTTTTTACGGCAAGGAAGAGATATGTATATATGTATGTATATTCTCAGGAAAGAAAATCATGTTCCCTTATGTATTTAAACAGGCTGAAAATACTTAGCAAATCTGGACACAAAAGAATTGTGTCGTATCCCGTTTAGAGTGACCTACAGGACAAGTGTAACCACATGTTCATATGTTCGCGCAATTACGTCCAATGAAAGTTGATATACCGACAATTAGTTCATTGGGCATCAAGGCGTATCGAGACACCCGTTGTATGATAAATAGAATGTGTGAATGTATGGATCACATACTTTTGTCCTTCTCATTCCGTCCTTGTTTAATTTTTATAGAATTATGCAATTTTGAGCCGGTCTAACTCTATGCCCACTCTAATACCGATTCTAATTTTCCACGAGAATAATATATATTTGTTATTATGTATACGATGTCATAATAACCACGATTTCATGATTACTCTACACAAAAATAAATATACTCTACACATTAATAAATTTGAATATTTATAGTATATCTATTATTTTTATGTGCAATATAGGTATATTATATATACTGAACAACATAATTACATATACAAAAATATCTTAAAATGTCTTTTATATATACATATATACAAAAATCTCTTGAAATTATGTAATAACAAAAGGTATTTGAGATTCATATACAAAAAAAAATTTGTTACTGATAAAAATAAGTAACTTACTATAAATATTGAGACGCGCGTGACATCACGTGACGATTCGATTCGTTTTTAAACTGTCTCTGACAATTTGCCAGTTTTACGAAAGGCTATCGGACGAAAAAAGAAAAAACAGTCCAACCCAGTTTTCCGAGTAGCGATTTATTTTTATGATTTAGCAAATACCAAAAACTGAAGTGCTTGTAACTACATTAACATTGTAACTGAATAAACTATTAGAAAAATTATATTTGTGTTTTTGCACACATATTATAAATATATTATATATTCTTATTAGAGTAGCGATTGATTTAGCAAATACCAAAAACTGAAGTGCTTGTAACTACATTAACATTGTAACTGAATAAACTATTAGAAAAATTATATAAATTATATTGCACACATATTATAAATATATTATATATTCTTATTATATTCTTGTTATACTGATATTTTTTAATTAAAATTA